GCTGCCTCCCGAGTCACTTCCTACCAGCCTCCCCAAGCAAGAGGGCACAGCAAAGACATGCAAACAAAACAAAGAATATTTCTCCAACCTCACAAAATTCCAGAAGCCTTTTCCCACAGCAGGCTGGGTAGACCATCCACAGTCAGGGCCCCCCACTGCTGGGCCTCCCCTCAGGGTTCCTTCTGCAGAGCCTCAGAGTGCAGGTCTGCTCACCTCCACTGGCCACCTTCGTGTTGCCAACCCTCGTCATTTGGAAAATCATGAGTCAGACCCCACAAAATCAGGAGATTTGCCTTAAAAATTGAGGGCTTTTTTTTTTTTAAAAAAAAGTGGGTTCTCTATTTCCCTTCTGGCCCTTTAAAAGGTGCTCTCAGGTCCCATTTTCCTCTGCCACCACGCAGGCTAGAAACTTACCTTTCTAGTACAAAAAGGTACTAGAGGCCAGAGCCCCACTGCTGGGGCTGAAAAAATCCTGAGATTTGATAGTTCGCTCACGAGTGAGGTTTAATTTTACTTAGGAATTGCATCACTCGTGATAAATTCACAAGAGTTGGCAGGTCTGCTACCTAAAAGTGAGCTACTCTGATCCCATTTTCAGCTCCTGCAGCCTGTGCGTGCATTGCAGGTGTGGTGGTGCAGAGCATCCTGGGTCCAGAGCAGCTCCTTAACCCCTTCCAATCCAATGTGGTTTACTTTTTAGAGTTCAGAATGATAACATACAAGAATACGAAATAGAGACCAAGCAGGCTCCTCCCTCTGGCAGAGAAGCACAACACACCCCTTCTTGCTGCAGGCTGTTTCCAGACGGATTCAGATCATACACTTCCCTACAGAGCTCCTAGCCTGCAAGCAGGGCCAGGAAACCCCCTGAGAATTTAAAATGATAGATCAGTTTTCAATATACCACCACCACTTTCCAGCCAGCACTCAGCCCAAAAGCTCGCTTTCTCCTAGCTTTTCTCAAGATCAAACTGATTTTTTTTTTTTTTTTGGCACCATCTTGGCTTCCTTGCTGCTTTCTCCATGTGCTTCTTTGGTGTTTCTGCTACAGTACAGATGCACAACCTCAGTCCAATCACTTCCCCACCCCCGTGGAACTTCTTAGACTGCAAGACCCAGCCACTACCCAAGCTTGCATAGGATGTGGTTGTTGGGCAGTGGTTTTCCATTGTTTCAGCTATCATAAAGCAAAGAAGCATTTAATTGCCCCCTCCTTTAGCTTCAATGGAAGGCAGCTGTCATACCCAACACCTTCAGCAAGGTGTGATTGCCCAGCCCCCAGTGCAACAATGTGTAGCCAGGCCTGGCATGTTGAGGATATTCAGCAAAATTATTTTACAAAGAGTAAAAGTCCCAACAGTGCAGGTTGCCAAAACCCTTCATGGGAAAAAGCAGGAACAGCACACGACAGGAAGGAGACACATTCCCTTGCACAGCGAGGAGCCAAACCAAGAAAGGAGGTGACACATCCATGCATGTTTCTCTTCTGTTCATTCAGTCCTAGCAGGTGCTTCCAAAGATTTCTCTGCCCCTGAAGCAAATGGAAGCATGCCAGGAGGGGAGGAAAGCCTACGGCCTATGCACCATCCACTCGCAGGACCTCAGCACCACTCTGCTAATCCTGGCCCAGGAACATTGGTGCATAAGGGTGAAAATGCCTGCTCCTGGAGGAGCAAAAATGCCCCACAATCAGCCAGGCAGGTGTGGGAAATGAGACACTGGAGGCTGTAAAACCTTTGGGGAAAGGACCATCCCTTCCTTTGTGTCTGCAAAGCACCTAGCATATTGGGGAGATTGCTGAAAATCAATAACCAGTAACAGGTGGTATCACCAGAGCCAGAACTCTCTCCCAGACAAAGATGTGTTCATTGAGTGCAAGGCCATAAAGGACCACTGTGATCAGCTAGTCTGACCTCCCGCATAGCACAGGCCAGAGACCTTAGAATCATAGAATATCAGGGTTGGAAGGGACCTCAGGAGGTCATCTAGTCCAACCCCCTGCTCAAAGCAGGACCAATTCCCATCTAAATCATCCCAGCCAGGGCTTTGTCAAGCCTGATCTTAAACTTCAAAGGAAGGAGATTTCACCACCTCCCTAGGTAACGCATTCCAGTGTTTCACCACCCTCCTAGTGAAAAAGTTTTTCCTAATATCCAACCTAAACCTCCCCCATTGCAACTTGAGACCATTACTCCTTGTTCTGTCATCTGCTACCACTGAGAACAGTCTAGATCCATCCTCTTTGGAACCCCCTTTCAGGTAGTTGAAAGCAGCTATCAAATCCCGCCTCATTCTTCTTCCCCAAAATAATTCGTGTTTGAACAACAGCAGACCTGTCAGGAAAACATCCAACCTGGATTTAAAATTTGCCAATGATGGAGAATCCATCACAACCATTGAAACTTAACTTACCAAGGATAACTTCCCCTCACTGTGAAAAATTTACACCTTATTTCTAGTGGCAGATTTCAAGCCAGCTGGCTGCTTGTCCTCACAGATTGAAGGAATAACTGGGGGTTCATCTGCAGTCCAGATCCAGTTTCAGAAGTTTATTGTCTTACTCCTAAGGAGGAGAACCCCAGCTGTTTGTTTTTTCCTGCAGCCCCCTTAATCTGTCCATTAGCATTTTGCTCAGACTGTCCCTTTGTACCATTGTGAACCAGACAATACTCAATTTTCACACGACCAGCCCAAGTGAGATAGCGTCTCTTCCCCTCTGTCTGACGGGTCTGTGGTTCACCTTTTGGTGACCTGCCTTAATGCACAGACGTAGAGAACATAATTTTTAGTATATACACAACTCTTTGCATATTTTCTGTCCATATGTATCACAATGATTATGATGACCAGTGTGACACAGACTTTCATTAGTGACCTTACATTATATTTTTTGGCAGACTGGGTCTGGTACGTAGATCCCAGACTCAGGGAATTCCTGTAACTCATGTGTACTTGTGTGTCCTCTGCCAGTTGGTATCAAGGGGTCTTTGGACCACACTGCTGCCTCTGAGAAAGCAGTACACCCCATTCACTAGCTTCACCTCAGTTCAATGCTCTCCTTAGCACAAGGCACTGAGACAGCATTATAGTAAAAACAAACTGAAGTGTATCTACCAGGGCTTGAGAGAACAATTCAATTAGAAGGAAGTGTAAGGGTTAGGAAACAAAGTTACAGGTTAAAAAAAGAAAAGAAAACCCATAACATGCAATCTATAGCCTACATTTCTTAACAAGTCGCCTTCCTATCTAATTAAGGTCTCTCTCACCCAAAATTCATTCCTTGCAGTGCTTGTCCAGTTCCAGAAACTGGGATCAAGTTTCATGAGAGTCCCACACTGGCAGAGTCCCCACATGTGCCCGTTCTTCAATTTTGTACCATCATAGATCACTGTCTCTTACCCCAGGGGGCTCCCCTTCTGAGAGCTCACCTGGGAATCGTTTGAGTAGGCTCAAGGCTGCCTCTTCCCCACCCAGTAAACAAAAACTGGCTCAGTCAAAGGAGTCCACTGTTCTCATGTTGAGTGGGTCAGGCCTGTGATTTTCTTCCAAACAGAATTTGGAACACAATATCATACATGGACCATAACTCTATAATTTTGCATGCAAACATCTTGCAATAACCCAGGCAATCAGCTAGTTCTTAGCTTTTAAGGCCACATATGACCCCCTTGGGTTAATATCCAGAAAATGGATGGACACAGATTTAATCTCCCTTCTAGGACATGTTTGGGCATCTGTGTCCCAGATCCCCCACTATAACTCCCCTCCCCAGAAGGGATGCTCTTGGAATCCCATCCCTGAGGGAGAGAAATGTAATGATTGAAAAATGAAACTGACCGCAAATGTGATGCTTGGGGACCTTTGCCGAACTCTCCACCAGGGAGAACTCCACACAGCAGACCTTGGGCTGGGTGACCTAGTTTGGGAATTATCTTAGAACACTTGACAGCTCGCAGCAAGGTTAAGGATGTTTTGGTGGGATTTCCATGAAGGTTGTGAAGGCCCTCACTCTTTGTTAATTTTACAGCACCCAAGTTATGTCAGGTGCTCTGCTACACAGACATGCCCCCTGCCCCCAAGCGCTTACAGATAGGACACAGTGAGAGGGGGCATCATTCACTTCTCTCCATTTCTAGGCACTAAGGCCCAGAGCATCAAATGCATGTAGGTGCCTAAGTCCCATTTAAATCAATGAGAGTTAGAAGCTAAATACCTTTGAGGATCTGGGTCCCTCCGTAAATCCAAAAGAAGGACAAACTTTGTGGAGCTGGCCTTGCCCTGCTGGCATTAAAGGAAGCGCTATGGGAAGCATGTGCTAGGACAAGTGGTCTAGTTTGGCTTGAGCTTAGCTAACTTGAGCTGGTGACCTAGCTCAGGAGTAGAGGAAAGGCCTTTAGCTCCAATTTGGCAGATATCTACAGCTAAAACACATGTGGGCTAAGTCCAGCCACTTTTCCTAGTCAGGACAAGCACAACAGCTGCTTCCTGTGTCAGTTTGTTAGGCTAGGTTTGGTTTATTGGTTTAGGGTGTGATTCACAGTTAGCATGTGAGAAAACAATCCCACATGAGCTCATGCTTTGTGAAGATTTCTGCTAAGAGAGGGCTCTTCAATCTAGCAGACAAAAGCAGAACAGGATCCAACGGCTGGAAGCTAAAGCAAGACAAATTCAGGCTAGAAATAAGTGGTGCATTTTTAACAGTGATGTTACACAATTCAATGAGAGGTCACACAATTTACTCCTCCTGAACTGCCTGAGCAATTAGGAATCCAAAATAACAGGACCCCTCCCAGCTTAAGAATACCCACAACAGCATCTATCAACTGTCATCCTCAGACCTCCACCAACCTTCCCCGACAGTGAAAACTATCAGTGATATACTTAAACAAAAAGGATTTTATTAACAAATCACACAGTAGGTTTAACATAACTGTGGCATGAAGCCTGAACCCAAACCCAAAACAAAAGTGGAAAACAGGTGTATAAAAAGTCTCTAATACCGTATCCACACAGGAAACAAGGATGAGGGTAACGGATCTAGAACCCCGAAGTCTTCAATCAGGAACCAGCCTCTGGAACCCAGGAGACACTGCTCAGGAACTTGCCGTCAGGACTACCTCTGCCAAGGAAAGGGCCAGGAGCAATGGTAAGCTTGCATGTCTCCTCGTCGTCTTTTCTTCATCTCCGCTACTAGCAGAGCTAACCTCTGTTTTCCCCAAGTCTATAGTACAACCTGGTTCATAGGTGGGGGAGGGATAGCTCAGTGGTTTGAGCATTGGCCTGCTAAACCCAGGGTTGTGAGTTCAATCCTTGAGGGGGCCATTTAGGGATCTGGGGCAAAAATTGGGGATTGGCCCTGCTTTGAGCAGGATGTTGGACTAGATGATCTCCTGAGGTCCCTTCCAATCCTGAGATTCTATGAACCAGTCTATATAGTACTAACAAAGCTGGAGCTCTTGCTTTCCCCTGACCAGACGTGGACACAGGCTGCCACTAGGACAGATTGCAACCAGTCGCTGTGTGTCAAGTCCTTATATAGATTTTCACATTGATCACATATCCTTTCCTGCTCTTTCTGGTTACTGGGCAGACTTGCCAGCAGTATCCAGGCAGCTGCAGTATCCGTTACTTACACGGACCGCCTAAAAGATTTCAAACACCAACAAAGTTGTGACTGTCCAATCAGGGACAAGTACTTGGAAAAAGGGTGCCAAATTACGACTGAGACAACAAGAAGCCCATCTAAGATGGAGGACACAGGAGTGTGAGAATAACCAAAATGGCAATTCACTGTTTACATTTCCCCTCTTTCGTGGCCATGTGCAGTAATACAAATGTTGAGCCCCCACATTACTATATCTGAATAAGGTAGTCTGTCCATTGTCCAAGTAACCCCAAATGTTACCTAGATTTAAACCCTTGGTTAATTTCTTTCACAGCTGTTGAGTGAAAGGAACCATTACCTCCAAGTACTACCCTGATATTAACCTTTGGTTAATACTGGTAACCCTTTTAACTCTTTTTCTGACCCAACAAACCAATATGACCATTCCTATTATCATTAGAATCTGAACAATCAATACCATTACTCTTGGGTGCAAGAAGATACTCCATATCTCATTCAGATTAGTCGACCCACTGAATAATCCTTCCCACCAGTGGCTGAACCTAGACTCTTAAGCCACCCACTTCAGAATCGTCCTTATCTGCCTAGAGGAGTGATGGACTGTCAGCATCACCTCCTCTCCATCTTTCTCCAGCTGCCTCAACTGCTGCCTAAGCTCTGGACGATGTACAATCTCTCTGAGCAGAGAAAGATTTGCACCCATGTATACTGGTGTTACATGATCATAGAGCACATAATGCATGCTCTTGGTTTGCACTGACACATTGGTCAGAACAAAATCAATACCACATCTCATCACACAGATGGTACAGAGCACAGGCACGGGTTAACGTAGGGATTGTGAAATACCTCATGGAAATAATTTACCACAAACTTTGGATACCAACAATGCAGATGCATTTTGTATCCACAAATACAATAACAGATCAGTTATAATCACTGGCACTTACTCTGTGATGGCATTTACCCTCTTTAGGATCTAAACAGATATGGGATGTCTCAATTACCCCTGAGCCACAGGTATAACCTATACCATACTCCTCTACACAGGAGTTCAAGTTAACACTCCTGTAGGTACCCTCTTTCTCGTACACCCACCTATTCAACTCTACCGGCATAAAGACAGACTAACTGACATTAAGTCCTAGTGGAACCAAAGAGTAAATCCGTTCCTTCTGGGCCTGCTCAATAGTGAAGACAAATGCAATAATTATAATCTCATTTGTGTAAGAGAAATTCACTAACCTCCACCATTGTTGGTGATCTTGTTCAAAGGAGATGAAGTTTCTCCAGATGACTCCCCTCAACTCTATTGGCAGAACTCCACTAAACCCATCTCTGATTAGATCTTTTGCTACTGTGAATATCTAGTCCCGAGACAGCATACAGGACAGGGCCAGGGACACACTGGTCTGCAGGACATCTAAAACAGTTATAATATTCAGATGATCCTGCTCCTGGATCCTTAACCACCCTGGCAGTACACTAGCAATTCTACATTGCATCCCACTCAGTTGGTTTAGGGATGTTGTCTGTGCATGCAAAAGGGAAGCTATATCTGCACCTATAGCCCCTATCTTGCTAGCCAAGATTTCCTTATCTATAGTGTTAAGGACACCTAGGCCAGTGCCCACCCCTCCAAGGATCATAGCTAGGGTGTCTCTTTTGCTCCGTCTAGAGTTCCTTATTGTGATGCTTTCCAGCCAGAAGTACCATCCCACCCTGAGTGGCATTACATACAGTGCATACTTATACTGTACGCAGAAATATCTAACTGAAGTGACATTATTTTTCAGAGAGTAACGAGGGTCGATCAGCAGTAGTTTTTTTTTATGTCCCTCTTCACCACCACAGCTCCGATATAACTTTTATATGGTCTACGAACAACAGTAACTTCCTTGACCTTCCTGAGACCATACAGGCCAGTGAATCCATTTACCGGTACCGTTTACATTTACGTCTACATCAATGCTACTTATGCACCTAACACTGAATGTAACATTTCCATACTCACAAAACTTGTTCTTATTCTGTGAACCAAAATGTCTGACATTTGTGAAGTTGATACACTGCATGTGTCCAGTAAACATTTGAATAGGGGTATACAAATTAATTTTTTCAGCTCTTATTTAACACTGATTACAATATCAATAGTGTTTACCCCAACTTTCATCCAACTATTCAGTTTTGTTTCCACATATGAACAAAGTGAACCATTGTTTACTGCCACTTGAAGAGTGCAGCCAGTGAGAAAAGTATCACTAATTATCCACATGCATCCAACATCCAATCTGAACACGGATACAAGCGTGTCTCCATTAGCATTTTCTAGGGTTACATTTGACTCACTGTTGTCTACCATGAAGGCAGTCATAGTCTTTCCACTGGACTTGTCTTCCCAGACCACGTAACAATTGGTCAATCGTTCATTTGCGTATATTGCTATGGTGCCATTAAGTTGAAGAGGCATTCCTTGGATTACGTAACTGTTATTAGCCTCACAACTAAAATGGTCACCAGTGTTAACAGTCACTGCATTTCCAAAATGCAGGGCCCATACACATAAACAAATACACCAGAGCATTTTTCCATAGCACCTGGAAAGCAAAGGAAGAGAAGGGACAGGTTACTATATTTAGCACTGACAAACCTTTACTAGGACTTACACCATGAAAGCCTCTGCTTTCCTCCTGGGCAAGTAGTACTGACAGAGCTTAGTGGAGCCTCTGTGTTCCTCTGGGCGCTTAGTACTGACAGAGCTCACTGGAACCTCCATTTTCCTCTAAGCATTTAGTACTGTCAGAGCTCACCTGTGCCTTCCTCTACATGTTTATTGGCCCTTCCAGCTCTTCAATTGGGAAGAGTGGAACCACTTTAAAACCTGCTTCTTTTTCCCTTTAATTTCAACCTGGTAAACGGTGGGACTTGATTTGTTAACAGTAACAGGATCCAGACACCTGGGGCTCAATTCATGGCTCTTTTCCATATAAAACCTGTACAGCATTCTGTCCCCGATGTTCCACTTGGTTACCTTTGAGGTGTCCCCCAGACGTTTGTTCATTAGCTTTCTATTTGCCTTCAGGTTGACCACAACCTGTTTCTGGATCTTACTGATGGAATCTAACAACTCACTCATGAATTTATCTGTCAGAACCCATGGCTGATAATCATCCAATGGCATTCCACCCTGCCACTACTGTTCTGGGATCTCATGAGTCTGCCTGTCAGGACCTCGTGAGGAGTAAGCCTATGTGAAGCTACTGTTGATCTTAGTGTCATGAGATCCAGTCGGGGCTTCCTATCCCAATCTTTACCTGACTGTTTCACTATCTTTCTCAATGCAGTATTTAGGATTCTATTGGTTCGTTCTACTAAACCTGAACTTTGACGGTGACCTGCAATATGCAACCTCTGTTTTACCCCAAATGCCTGACACATGCACCTAACCATATCACCTACAAAGTGAGGGCCCTGGTCAGAATAGATTACATCAGGTAGTCTGAACCTGGAAAAGATCTGCTTTGGCAGCACCTTAGCTGTAGTACTGGATGTGTTTCTCATTGGGTGGGCTTCCACCTACTTCAAGAAAGCATCTATCACTACCAGACAGTGCTTGTTACCTCGCCCAGTCTGAGGCAATGGGTTTATAAAATCGATTTGCAACTGTGACCAGGGTCCTAGGGTGTCACACTGGAGTTACTCAATTAGGGTGAACTGCAAAGAATGGGGCAGACAATCCAATACTTAGATTTACCAAACCAGCACAAAACAGCTTCTATAATACCTCACTGGTTACCCAGAAGCCAACAGCACAGTTCCTTTAAAGCAACCCAGCCTCAGGCCTCCACCCAGACACCCAAGTCAAATATGACGAGGATTACTGAAAATCTTATTCATCATATAAGAAAGTTCTACCAATCCCAAAGGATCAGGTTAATGAATATTCCAGATCTTACCCAAATCCACGCTTACAGCCAATTCTTATTAACTAAACAAAAATTTATTAAAGAAAAGAGAGTATTGGTTAAAAGATCAGTATACATACAGACATGAGTATAGTTTGAGATCAGATTCATAGTAGAGATGGTGAGCTTTGTAGTTGCAAAGAGTTCTTTCAGAATTAGTTCATAAGCTACAGTCCAATATTCATATTCAGGGTGAATCCAGATTAGGACTGGAGATCTCAATCTTGCGACTCACACTTCCCCTGATGAAGCTTAAGCAGATCTGAGATAAAAAGAATCAAGACCCAAGGGTCTTTTATACAGTTTTTTAGCCTTCTTTGACAGGTTGGAGTCCTTAAGCGAACAATAGGCAATCATGGATACTTTGAAGTAGCCCCGTTTCCTAAGCCTCACCAGTAATTAGCTACACAGATTAACATAAGGCAATTTATCCATTAGGCAGTCAATCACAATCTTTAAAGAGACATATAAACAATGACATTATTTCACCCAAGATTCATCTAAATATTAATATTCCCTTTTAATCTTTAAATCAACAGCTATAGTGCCAGACAGGAACTGTTTATATGGCTAACATTTAGCAAGATATGAGTAATATCGGTTTGCATTTTGAATTTCTTGTCTATCTACCATGGAATGGCCCTAATTACCATTCACATACTTTTCTAACAGGTTTCAGAGTAGCAGCCGTGTTAGTCTGTATCTCTTCTTACTATATGTTCCATTCTATGCATCCGATGAAGTGGGCTGTAGCCCACGAAAGCTTATGCTCTAATAAATTTGTTAGTCTCTAAGGTGCCACAAGTACTTCTGTTCTTTTTGCAGATACTTTTCTAACATGTCTCTAAAGGTTGAATCTGGGTCAATTATCCTTCAGGATGCTTAACCCTTTTCTGGCCATGCATCACACTTTGTATAAGATTTGTTGCAATTATATAGAACAGTGGTAGCAACAATGATTTGCTGGTCATATTTTAATCAGATAATGTCACAGCAACCTAGACCATGGATCTACTATGGGCTGGTGCAGGAAGGGTCCCTTCACTACCTTGCTGTCAGGGTTGTTCTCTGGACGGGGTAGGCAGTTGTGCATGTGATGATCTATATCCCTCACATAACCAGGCCATCACTCCACAGTCAAGATCTTATTGACTGTCTTCTCTATGCCCAAATGCTGCTGGCCATGAGCCAAAGCAACAAATTCTTTCCTTAGACACACATTGTAGTTCCCTCCCTGTTACTTTTTCTGACAGCCATAACAAGGTCATCTTTAGTTTTAAAGATCCTAAAGTTCTTAGACTCCCCCTGTTTAACCAAATCCCAAATCTCTGGATCTTGGTTTTGGAGTACCACAAGGTCTGATTGCTGTAGCGTTGGGTGAGCAGGTTGCACTTTGCTGATTAGGTCCACTGTCTTCATCCAGAGAGTATCAGGACCTAATAGTGCTGCCTTCTTTGCCAGAGAGTTACCCTATTGTTCAATTCGGCTATTTCATCTTGAGTTTTTTGGTGTGCTCTCACTTTCAACACAAAGACCTTTCCCTCTCTGGATACTGCCTTCTTCCAAGCATACAGCAGGTACTTGGAATGGGCAATGACTTTCCCGTCTGCGGAAGTCATGCCTCTCTTCACCCATATAGACATCCAGGTCAAGACAGCTTGAACAGCCCAATCAGAGTCTGAGCATATCAGAAGATCATCTTCTGGATCTGCCTCTCCAAGAACCGCTGTGATAGCTACTACCTTGGCTGCCAGAGCAGAGTGTGGATTCTTTCGGTATCAACCTGCCGGACAGTGTACCCGGGGCAGAGCTTTCCTTCATGACAGAAGCAGCTTCCGTCCACAAACCATATTTTTAACTCAAAGTCTCTGGCCTGTTCAAACGAAATCCCCGTTTTGAATGGGGATTCCAGTGGCTCTGGATCTTCATGCGGAATGGGGTACTCATGTTCCTCCCCTTGGACTAGTAGTGCATACAGCATGGTAGATAGATCTTTGACCTTTACTTCCACATTCTTATTCAGCAGGTTCAAAGTCCATTCTGCAAGTCTCAGGATAGATACTCTCCCTTTGATCTTTCCAGACAACACATATTTGATAGGTGTGTGTGTGGTCTTCAGGATGACTGGAGACACCCCCACAATATACTCCCAGTGTTGGAGAACCCACACAAGTGCCAATTCTTCCTTTTCACAAGCTGAAAACCTTCTTCCTACCTTGCTGAGTATCCTTGAGCCAAATGCTGCAAGCTTCTGTTCCGGCATCCTGTAGCAGTACTGCACTCAGTTCTTTTTCCGTAGTGGCCAATTGCGGATGAAAAGGCCTGTCAGGTTGAGGGTAGGCTAACACAGGTGCTTTAATCAAAGCTTGTTTCAACTGGCAGAAGGCTTCCTCTTGAGGCTTTTCCCATATCCAAACTTTATCTTTCTTCAGTAAGGTGTATAGGGGCTGACCCCCTCCCCCGCAAGGTGCTGGGTGGGAAGATGTGCAGATGGGTGTGGGTGCTAGGAGTGCAGGGGCCTGTAGAAGGCAGAGAGGGTAAAGAGGGGATGAAGAAGAGAGAAATATGGGGGGCACATGGGAGTGTGGGCAGGGCAGGTGGGGAGATGGAGAGGGGCAGGGTGGATGTACAGGGAAGCAGGCTAGTGCTCAGGGAGGGGTGGGATGGCAGCTCCCGCACCCTGGGGCTGAAGGAGCCTCCCCTGTACAGCCAGTTGTGTTTTCAGGGTGCATTGTGAACCCAGGGTTATCATAGATACATTGGAGCAGGTGGGTCCCGCTGCAGGCTCAGCACTGCCTGCTGTCACCAAGCCAGCCCTGGGGAGCAATGCAGGGTGTCCCCAAGGGGGAACCTGAGCCTAGCTTCCAAAGCTTTTCTCTGTTTCTTTTCAAAATGGCCACCACCTCTCACTGCCATGGGACTAGTGGCAGGCTGCTTTCAGCTAAGATGGCCACCATTCCCCTTTGCAGGAGGTGACGAGGACATCCCCAGTGAACATGGACACTGCTATCCGCTATTCATTGCCAGTGGGATGGAAGCCAGGCTGCCTTCAGCGGAGATAAGAGCAGGTGAATATGGGGATGGAAAGAGGGGAGTGATAGAATATGTGGGGGATAAAAGACCACGGGTGATCGCAGGGCAGGAGACTGGGGCTAGGAGAACATGGTGGCACGGAAGGGAACCTGGGAGCAGACAAGGCAACTGTAGAGACAGGGAGAATGGAGTGGGTGGAGTGAGGGGGATATAGGACCAAGAGACAGAAGGGATAGGCTGGAATAGTGAGGCAGGACAGGACTGGAGAGAGAGACAATGACAGCTTCCCAACCTGAGGGCTAGGGATGGGAGAGTGGGAGCAGCCACAGGCAGTGTGTGCGCATTTCAGGTTGAATTTTCACTCTGCAGTGATTGTAGGGCAGGCAGCTTCCCCGAGGGGTAAAGAATCAGAAGCCAGATCAAAACCTGTATTTATTAAACAGGCTGATTGCAGCAGGGCCTAAGGGCCTGCTGAGATCAGGGCCCCCATTGTACTAGGTGCTGTACAAACCCAGACTGGTAGATGAGCCCTGCCCTGAAGACCTGCCAATCTAAACAGACCAGACAAACACAAGGTGGGGAAGGGGTAGAACACCCCA